AGGCTCAAACTTCCAAAGTGCTCTCTGGCCTGTGCAGATGAGGACTTGCGTGCTCTCTCGGCACTCCGACTACAGGGTACGTCTGGACTGCCCTTCCAGCTGAAGCTCAGATCCAACGGCATGTTCATGCCGGGCCAGGCTGCCCATAGGAGCACCCAGACAGGGACCCTGCACAGCAGGGGTGTCGATGCAGGAACATTTCCTGGAGATGCAGGACTCCTCTGACAGTGACTTCGACTCGAGGACACTGCAGCAGGCTGGCTACAATGTCCTCGGAGCTGCACTGCCATCTGAGGTTTTCTCTGCTCATTTCTGCTTCCCCAGAGGTCAGAACGATGATCTAGAGCCCCCCTCTCCTGTCTTCTCCAGTTTCCACCCTTTATTCTCCACAAAACACAGGTGTTTCCCCCAACAAATCCCATCCTGGCAGCTGCTTCTTGGAGGATCTGAGTCAATGCACCTGGCATCCAGTGAGCTTCGCTCCCCAGCCCCCTCCTGTGAGATGCCACACCCCGGGCCTCCCCGTGGCTGCAGGAGGAGGGACTTCAGTTGATGAAAGCACTATCTACAAATTCATGTAGACAGGGAGTGAGCTCTTGGAAGTGACTCATTGTCCTGGAAACTGGAGAAGGCTGAATTTAACTCATAAATAATGGCTTACCATAGCTAATAAACCAGACGCACATTAACATTCCAAGCCATTACAAGTTAACCTTTATCGGTTTTAAGGCAGCAGGGGAAGTCTTCTGATCCACATGCCTTTCTCCTGCCCCAGGGAGGGAGGGTCGGGAGGAGGGGGATGTGGCCACTGGGAGCCAGCCAGAGCGCTCCTTTCCACAGCCCTCCAGCATCATCTTAATGCGCTTGGCTGAAACCACGTCCCCACCCAGCAGCGTCTGCTGGGAGCATCTTCCTGGTTGGTCCATGGCTCCTGGCTCAGCCTGCTTTCCCCTCCGCCAGGCTCTCCCAGGGGCAAATGACCTCCTTTTCTACAGCCCGGTCTCCCGACTCTCCCGTCCCGACGTCCTCTGAGTCCACCAGGCACGTTCCGCTCTCCATAGGCACATCCATCTTGATCTGGAAAAAGCTTCAGGTGCAAAAGGACACCAGGTAATGTAGACAGGCAGGAGGGACACGTCTCCCAGGCATCCCGACACCCCGGGAAAGATCAACACCCCAGGTGCCTTGACCAAAAGCTGTGTGTGCTGTGATTGGAGAGTCAGATTTTCCTGCT